AATCCCAGCACTTTGGGAGGCCGAGGCGGGCGGATCACGAGGTCAGGAGATCGAGACCATCCTGGCTAACACGGTGAAACCCCATCTCTACTAAAAATACAAAAAGAAATTAGCCGGGCGTGGTGGCGGGCACCTGTAGTCCCAGCTACTCCGGAGGCTGAGGCAGGAGAATGGCGTGAACCCGGGAGGTGGAGCTTGCAGTGAGCCGAGATCGCGCCACTGCACTCCAGTCTGGGCGACAGAGCGAGACTCCGTCTCAAAAAAAAAAAAAAAAAAAAACACAAAACTTACCTGGGCATTGTGGCTTACATCTGTAATCCCAGCACTTTGGGAGGCCAAGGAGGGTGGATCACTTGAGGTCAGGAGTTCAAAACCAGCCTGGCCAATATGGCAAAACCCCATCTCTACTAAAAACACAAAAATTAGCCAGGCGTGCTGGTGCGCACCTGTAATTCCAACCACTTGGGAGACTGAGGCAGGAGAATTGCTTGAACCCGGGAGGTGGAGGTTGCAGTGAGCTGAGATCCTGCCACTGCACTCCAGCCTGGGTGACAGAGCAAGACTCATCAAAAAAAAAAAAAAAAAAAAGACACCTCTGGAGTGAATATCAGGCTTTTGACCTTTCCTCCTCCATCTCCTCAGTGGTTTTTCTTGCAAAGGTCTGGTCTGCTGGACTCTAGGAGATGGCCCCATCACAGGAAGCACCGTGGTCCTGTCTGCTAGCATGGCTTCCCAAAGTTGTAGGTTCATTTAAGATGTCTCAAGAAAATGGACAAAACAGGGCTGGGTGCAGTAGCTCACGCCTTATAATCCCAGCACTTTGGGAAGCTGAGGCGGGCGGATCATGTGAGGTTGGGAGTTCGAGACCAGGTGACCAACATGAAGAAACTCCATCTCTACTAAAAATACAAAATCATCCAGGCATGGTGGCACATGCCTGTAATCCCTGCTACTCAGGAGGCTGAGACAGAAGAATCGCTTGAACCCAGGAGGTGGAGGTTGCAGTGAGCTGAGATCACGCCATTGCACTCCAGCCTGGGCAACAAGAGCGAAACTCTGTCTCAAGAAAAAGGAAAAAAAAAAAAAAACAGTTCACTTTGTAGCTACCAGAAAAAAGAAAAAAAAAAGAAAAGAAAATGAAACCCACTGTGTCTGGGCCACCATGCAGGAGTGTGAAGCAGCATCCACCCCAAGCCATGGCACTGAGAGGAGGAAGAGAGAAGATAGGGCATCACACTCGGTCCCTCTAAGTCCTCACTCAGCTATTCACACTGAGAGGAGGACAGGGTGTTACACCTGGTCCCTCTAAGTCCTGGCTCAGCTATTCACACTGAGAGGAGGAGCACAGGGTGTCACACTCAGAGCCTCTAAGTCCTGGCTCAGCGATTCACACTGAGAGCAGGAGGACAGGGTGTCACACTCAGTTCCTCTAAGTCCTGGCTCGGCTATTCACACTGAGAGGAGGGGGATAGGGTTCACACTTGGTCCCTCTGAGTCCTGACTCAGCGATTCAACTAATGGCTTTACAAATGACACATCCGATACACAGCTTGAGAGAAAGGGCACGCAATGCTTCTAACACTTCCTGACATTTCTTCTAACTCCTGACATTTTCAGAAGCATGGGATGTTCACTGCAACAGCTGCTTCCAGCTGAGAAAGGGGCCGCCCTTTCTAACTTTTTAAAAGGCTTAGCCGTCTACCAAATGGGATTTTAAGAAAAAGGGATTTCATGTCACATTTCTTTCACAGAAGTACATAAAAGTACAAATAAAATTCAAAGCCCAGGCTTTCAGGGCAGGGACCCGGCTGATCCAGCGGCATCAGACACTCTGACTGCCGAATGGGCAGGGGACAGAGGCAGCCAGGTAACGCAGCAGGGACAGGTGACACAGCAGGGACAGGTGACGCAGCAGGGAGATGGAGCCAGGATGGCTTCTCCCAGAGGCCAACCCAGGCCACCAGACGTGGGTGGCCACACCGTGGTAGGAGGCTGCAGTCACCCTGGCCGGAGCTGACAAAGTGCCTGGAAAATGAGGGGAGAAACCCCAGAAAGGAGCAGGCACAGAGAGAAGACATCCCCATCCAGCACATAAATGCTCCCCACGTACTTGTCTGACCCTGAGCTGCTGACGCAGTGTGTGGGGAAGACTCCCAGGGGCCCAGCAGAAACGGACGGCTGGAGGACGGAGAACACTGAGTTGAGACGGCGGCTGCTGCTCACCACCTGAGAGTCTGGAGTTTCAACCTTCACAAGTTAGAGGCTTAAAAACACCTCAGGCTTCCCAGGAACATCCAGAAAAACCACACCTTCGCAGATCCAAGACTAAGGATGTGTCAGGCAGAAGCAAAAGCCAGTCAGACCTGCCCTAACAGCATAAACACTGAGCCTCTTCAGGGTGATCGGCAGGAATTCAGCCTCCGAGAACAAAGCCCACACTCTTCAGGGGAAGACAACAGAATCCAACAGAATTCAGAGTCTCTACCATATAAACTCCACCATATTAACAGTATATAAACTAAAATTCCAACAGACAATCAGGAAGTACTAGACGTGTGAAGAAGGGATAACAGGATCCACGGTGAAGGGAAAAATTAGCCAAAAGAAGTAGATCCTGAGACCAGGCGTGGTGGCTCACGCCGGTAATCCCAGCACTTTGGGAGGCCGAGGTGGGTGAAACACCTGAGGTCGGTCAGGAGTTCAAGACCAGTCTGGCCAACATGGCAAAACCCCATCTCCAATAAAAAAAATACAAAAAATTAGCTGGGCATGGTGGTGTGTGCCTGTGATCCCAGCTACTCAGGAGGCTGAGGCAGGAGAATCACTTGAACCAAGGAGCTGGAGGTTGCAGTGAGCCGAGATGGGGCCACTATACTCCAGCCTGGTGACAGAGCAAGACTCTATGTCTCAAAAAATAATAAATAAATAAATAGGCCAGTGTGTTAGCTCATGCCTGTAATCCCAGCACTTTGGGAGGCCCAGGCGGGTGGATCACTTGAACCCAGGAGTTCAAACCAGCCTGAGCAACATGGCGAAACCCCGTCTCCACCAAAAATACAAAAATTAGCTGGGTGTGGTGGCACACACCTATAGTCCCAGCTACTCAGGAGGCTGAGGCAGGGGAATTGCTTGAACCCGGGAAGCGGAGGTTGCAGTGAGCCAAGATTGCGCCGCTGCACTCCAACCTGGAAAACAAGAGCGAGACTTGTCTCAAAAAAAAAAAAAAAAAAAAAAATACATATATATATATATGTGTGTGTAAGTGACAACCCAGAATTCCACATCACTCAAAAATGTCCCTCAAAAATAAAGGTGAGGCCGGGCGCGGTGGCTCAAGCCTGTAATCCCAGCACTTTGGGAGGCCAAGACGGGCGGATCACGAGGTCGGGAGATCGAGACCATCCTGGCTAACACGGTGAAACCCCGTCTCTACTAAAAAAATACAAAAAACTAGCCGGGCGAGGTGGCGGGCGCCTGTAGTCCCAGCTACTCGGGAGGCTGAGGCAGGAGAATGGCATGAACCCAGGAGGCGGAGCTTGCAGTGAGCTGAGATCCGGCCACTGCACTCCAGCCTGGGCGACAGAGCGAGACTCCGTCTCAAAAAAAATAAATAAATAAAAAAAATAAATAAATAAAAAATAAAGGTGAAAGAGGGACATTACAGATAAACAAAAACAGAGAATTCATGGCCAACAGACCGATATGAAAAGAAATGCTAAAAGTACATCTTTAGGTTGAAGAAAAACAAGATTTGAACCACACTATGAACCACCTTGAGCTAATGACGTTACAGAAAATGAAAACCAATGACTGAATAAAACTCTTTTCAAGGGTATATGTAATATTCACCACAAAGAGTATATACATGATCATAAAACACTTCTTTTTGATTTTTTGAGACAGGGTCTCATTCTGTTGCCGAGGCTGGAGCACGGTGGCGTGATCACGGCTCACTGCAGCCTCTATCCCCTGGGATCAAGTGATCCAGCTAATTAATTAACGAAACATTCTGGCCGGGCACAGTGGTTCACGCCTGTACTCCCAGCACTTTGGGAGGCTGAGGTGGGTGCATGGCTTGAGCTCAGGAGTTGGAGATCAGCCTGGCAGCACAGCGAGACCCTCTCTCTATGAAAAATACACAAATCAGCCAAGCCTGGTGGCACATGCCCACAGTCCCAGCTACTGGGGGGCTGAGGCGGGAGGATTGCTTGAGCTTGGGAACTTGAGGCTGCAGTGAGCCGAGGTCACACCTCTGTACTCCAGCCTGGGTGACAAGGTGAAATCCTCTCTCCAGCTTACTCGGGCTCTAGTAATTTCTCTCTACTCTATTCATGTCACCCACCCAAACCTTTACATTACCTAAAAGTCTTCAATCTAAGTAAAGGGTTCATATGAAGTAGAGACTTCATATGAAAAGAGGTCGAAGGGGCCTAAGTGACCTTTTGCTTGTGCTGCAGTAAGAGGAAGCTGCAGAAAACATGGGTACGATGCCTGGGAGCCTCCCACCACGCACAGGAGCCGCCTTCTGAAGAACATGCCAGAGCTGGCAGGGCTTTGTAATAGCAGATGGAGGGAGCTTGGCACCAGGGAGGCGCTGAGCATTCGCCCTGCCAGTCACTGATACTCAGAGACTCAACAGATGATGTTCTCCAAATTTCATAAAATATAAGCACATTTCACTAGGGGAAGACAACCTGAAGTATGAATAACGTCTAGAAAAGCTGAGTATTCAGAATGGCTGATGTGCATAAAATCGTTTCCCTTTCCGAAACAAAGAAACCTTCTCTACAAAAACCAAAACCACCTTGACACTAATAGCTGCCACTTTTCTGTAGAAAAAGCTTCATTTGTAAGTAAATGACTCTCCACCGCTCCCTTTTCCAGAAAGGTGGGGCAGGGGCCTTGTGGGCCAAGGTGGGTCTTACACGGCTGGGCGCAGGCGCCAGGGCGGCCTGAGGGACTCAGCACAGGTCGTGTCTACCCATTTATTCCAAGGTTACCTCCTTCCGCTCTGCGTCAGCGTGGATCTTGGCCTGGTTTGCGGCAGCTTCTCGGTAGGTGCTGGCATGTTTGGCTTGCTCAAACAGCGTCTTCAGCTGCTGTGCGGTGGTGAGCAAGGAGTTGACCATCTCCTCCAGGTACAGCCAGCTCCGCGGCTCTGACAGCTCCAGCCCATTGACCAACGCGGGAGGTGCCGCTTTGGTGGGAGTCGGGGGTGGGACGGCAAGCGCAGGCAGGGATGTCAACACTAGAGCATTTGGAAAGCAAAATAAACCAAGAAATGAATCAATTTCCTAGCTTCAAAATGGCCCCCGTTAAAAATTATCAGCTGGGCACAGTGGCTCACGCCTGTCATCCCAGCACTTTGGGAAGCCAAGGCGGGCGGATCATGAGGTCAGGAGATGGAGACCACCCTGGCTAACACGGTGAAACCCAGTCTCTGCTAAAAAAAAAAATACAAAAAATTAGACAGGCGTGGTGGCGGGCGCCTGTAGTCCCAGCTACTAGGGAGGCTGAGGCAGGAGAAAGGTGTGAAGCCAGGAGGCAGAGCTTGCAGTGAGTCGAGATTGTGACACTGCACTCCAGCTTGGGTGACAGAACGAGACTCTGTCTCAAATAAATAAATAAATAAATAAATAAATAAAATAAAATAAAAAAATTCTAATCACTCAGCGCAGTGGCTCATGCCTATAATCCCTACACTTTGGGAGGCTGAGGTGGGAGGATCACTTGAGCCTAGGAGTTCAAGACCAGCCTGGGCAACATAGCAAGACCTTGTCTCTATAAAACAAAAATCAAAAACAAAAACAACTAGCTAGGTATGGTGGCATTCACCTGTGATCCCAGTTACTTAGGAAGCTGAGGCGGGAGGATGGTTTGAGCCCAGGTGGTCGAGGCTACAGAGAACCATGACTGCACCACCGTCCTTTGGCCTTGGTGACCTGAGACCCTGTCTCAAAAAGAAAAAATGCCAGGCATGGTGGCTCACACCTGTAATCCCAGCACTTTGGGAGGCTGAGGCGGGCAGATCCCTTGAGGTCAGGAGTTTAAGGCCAGCCTGATCAACATGGTGAAACCCGATCTCCACCAAAAAATGCAAAAATTAGCTAGGCGTGAAAGTGTCTATAATCCCAGCTACCCGGGAGGCTGAGGCATAAGAATCATTTGAACCCGGGAGGTGGAGGTTGCGGTGAGCTGAGATCATGCCACTGTACTACAGCCTGGGTGACAGAGTGAGACTCCACCTCAAAAAAAAAAAAAGAAAACTCTCACATAATGTCGGAAGTCGGGTAAAAAACTGACCAACAAACAACAAATCACTGCCCGATGACATCTCCCCAGCACCTGACATCTCCCCAGCACCTGACCACTCCCAGTACCTGACACCCCACAGCACCTGAACCCCCCCCCCCCCCCCCCCCCCCCCCCCCCCCCCCCCCCCCCCCCCCCCCCCCCCCCCCCCCCCCCCCCCCCCCCCCCCCCCCCCCCCCCCCCCCCCCCCCCCCCCCCCCCCCCCCCCCCCCCCCCCCCCAGCACCTGACCCCCCCAGCACCTGACACCCCCAGCACCTGACACCCCCCAGCACCTGACACCCCCAGCACCTGACCCCCCCCCCCCCCCCCCCCCCCCCCCCCCCCCCCCCCCCCCCCCCCCCCCCCCCCCCCCCCCCCCCCCCCCCCCCCCCCCCCCCCCCCCCCCCCACCCCCCAGCACCTGACACCCCCCAGCACCTGACACCCCCCCCCCCCCCCCCCCCCCCCCCCCCCCCCCCCCCCCCCCCCCCCCCCCCCCCCCCCCCCCCCCCCCCCCCCCCCCCCCCCCCCCCCCCCCCCCCCCCCCCCCCCCCCCCCCACCCCCCCAGCACCTGACACCCCCAGCACCTGACACCCCCCAGCACCTGACACCCCCAGCACCTGACCACTCCCAGCACCTGACACCCCCCAGCACCTGACACTCCCCAGCACCTAACATCCCTCTAGCACCTGACACCCCCCAGCACCTGACATCCCCCCAGCGCGCAAAAGAGGCAGGAAGATGTCCCATCCCTTCCCGCTCCACCCACCCAGCTCCACGTTGTAAAACTCATCCGAATGTGGCTGCTGGACCTGGAAACGTTCACGGAATCAGAGCTGAGGACAATGACCGGGGAGGGAAGCAGCTAAATCAGAGTCTCGCTCTGTTGCCCAAGTTGGAGGGCAGTGGTGCCATCTTGGCTCCCTGCCTCCCGGGTCCAAGCGATTCGCCTGCCTCAGCCTCCCGAGTAGCTGGGATTACAGGCATCTGCCACCAGGCCTGGCTCATTTTGTATTTTTAGTGGTTTCCCACGGTCAGTAGTCTCCCTCCTCAGCGCCCCTTCGCTCCAGCGATACAGGCTCCCCCCCCGCCACCCGGCCCCCCCTCCCAGGTCCGGCCCCCCCCCCCCCCCCCCTCCACGCCCCCCTCCCCCCCCTTCCCGCCTGCATCACCGATTTTAGTAGTGGGCTCTTTTCTTTCAGATGGGTAGCTTTTTGCTCCACGTTGGTCAGGTTGGTCTCGAACTCCTGACCTCAGGTGGTCTGCCCACTTCGGCCTCCCGAAGTGCTGGGATTACAGGCATGAGCCATCGCCCAGTGGGGTTTCTTGCAATTGGAGAAGGAAGTTACAAAGTGGGAAAGGAAAGGAACTAGAACAAACCCTGAGGTTCTGCACTGGAACTAGAGACACTGGGGCAAACTCACGGCTTTCAACACACACAGACCTGGAGCACAAACGTGCACATGTGCACATGAGAACGTTTCCGACTTCTGCCCGCCAAGGGCACCCGGGCACAGAGATCCAGGAGCCACATGCACACCTTGCACCGGGGTGAGCGGTTGATGCGAACCCCCAGCCCTCCTGGAGAAAAAGCCCTGATTTCAAGCATTTGCTGATTTCTTGGTATAAATACTTCACCAACACCCACCCCACATTTTTTTTTTTTTTCCAGTTAATAGAGATGGGGTCTCCTTATGTTGCCCAGGCTGGTCTCAAACTCCTGGTCGCGGTCTCCTAAAGTGCTGGGATTAAAGGGGTGATTTAATCCCCCTGTAATTGGGATTACACGCCTGTAATTCCGTCTCTACTAAAAATACAAAGATTAGCCAGGCATGGAGGTGCACGCTTGTAGTCTGCACTCCAGACTGGGCAACAGAGCAAGACTCCATCTAAAAAAAAAAAAAGGGGGGCCGGGCGCGGTGGCTCAAGCCTGTAATCCCAGCATTTTGGGAGGCTGAGGCAGGCGGATCACGAGGTTGGGAGATCGAGACCATCCTGGCTAACACGGTGAAACCCCATCTCTACTAAAAAATACAAAAAACTAGCCGGGCGAGGTGGCGGGCGCCTGTAGTCCCAGCTACTTGGGAGGCTGAGGCAGGAGAATGGCATAAACCCAGGAGGTGGAGCTTGCAGTGAACTGAGATCCGGCCACTGCACTCCGGCCTGGGCGGCAGCGCGAGACTCCATCTCAAAAAAAAGGAGGAGTGAGCCACCACGCCCAGCCTGAGGTAAGCTTTAAAGATGGAAAGAGTTTAGATAGGCAAAAGAGAGAATAATGAAACAAGCAAATGAAAATGATAAGGTAAGTTTTTCATGAACAAGTTTCTTGCACTGTCTGTGATAGTGAAAAATGGAAAACATGCATTTGCCACCAGCAGGGGAGGGTTCAATAAATCATATATTGATCATATGCACCCTTTAAAAAAGTATAATGATGGCCGGGCACGGTGGCTCACGCCTGTAATCCTAGCACTTTGGGAGGCCGAGACAAATGGATCACGAGGTTAGGAATTCCAGACCAGCCTGACCAGCATGGTGAAACCCCATCTCTACTAAAACTACAAAAAAAAAAAAAATTAGCTGGGCATGGTGGCGCACGCCTGTAGTCCCAGCTACTCGGGAGGCGGAGGCAGGAGAATTGCTTGAACCTGGCAGGCAGAAGTTGCAGTGAGCCGAGATCATGCCACTGCACTCCAGCCTGGGCGACAGAGTGAAACTCCATCTCAAAAAAAAAAAGTATAAATATACAGAAATCTTGGCTGCATGTGGTGGCTCACACCTGTAATCCCAGCACTTTGGGAGTATGAGGCAGATGGATCACTTGAGGTCAGGAGTTCGCGACCAGTCTGACCAACACGGTGAAACCCCGTTTCTACTAAAAATACAAAAATTAGCCAGGTGTGCTGGTGCATGCCTGTAATCCCAGCTACTTGGGAGGCTGAGGCAGGAGAATGGCTTGAACCAGGGAGAGGTTGCAGTGAGCCAAGATTGCACCACTGCACCCCAGCCTGGGCAATAGAGCGAGACTCCATCTCAAAAAAAAAGTGCAGTTAAACGAAAAATCAAAGTTAGAATGCGTTTACAGTGTATCATCGTTTTAAAGATTTAGGCCACATGTGATATCAATCTTGGTTTTTCTTTCTTTTTTTTTTTTTTTTTTTTTTTTTTGAGGCTGGAGTGCAGTGGACCCAGGCTGGAGTGCAGTGGCCGGATCTCAGCTCACTACAAGCTCTGCCTCCCAGGTTTACGCCATTCTCCTGCCTCAGCCTCCCAAATAGCTGGGACTACAGGCGCCCGCCACCTCGCCCGGCTAGTTTTTTGTATTTTTAGTAGAGATGGGGTTTCACCGTGTTAGCCAGGCTGGTCTCGATCTCCTGACCTCGTGATCCGCCCGTCTCGGCCTCCCAAAGTGCTGGGATTACAGGCTTGAGCCACCGTGCCCGGCCTGTGGTTTTTCTTTCTTTCACCAGATACCGAATGCCCATGCCAGCTCTGGGGAGACCAAGACCTGCCACTGAGGAGTGTCTACCTTCAAGAGGATAACAGCAAACTCACCAGAAAGAACTTCAGCTCCACAGGCCAATTGGTTTCTAGGGGTGTGCCCTGCTGTTGTACCAAAAGCAGCTTCTACAGCACACACATGAATGGACGTGGCTGTGTGTCAATAAAACTTTATTTACAAACATAGGCAGTGGGCCACACTTTGCCAGCCACTGATCTACTGCATCAATAACAACAACAAAACAAACCAAAACAAATCCGATTTCACCTAGAAATTCTTTCACAGGAAGCAGTTCTGAGGAAAATTACCTGTACACGTGTGAATTCTTTCAAACCTACCTATTTTGGGATGTGACGTTGGCAACGCAGCTTCTGGAAACGGGGCGATCTGGCAGCTGTCCTGATAGCCGGGGTAGTGAGGCTCAGGGTGGCTGGCCCTGCATGGGGGCTGCACGCTGGCCTCTTGGACTGTTGGCGAGAGAAGGGACAGGGAACCTCGGGACGACTGTCTGCACAGCAGGCCCTAAATATCACACTGTAAGGCTGTGCCATTCAGTACACACAGCAGCTTATGGCCACACGCGGATACTGAGTCCCTGCCATTCAGCACACATAGTAGCTTATGGCTACACGCGGCTACTGAGTCCCTGAAAGGGGTAAGCCTGAATTATTGACATAGGATTGGGGCTATATCAGTTAAAATAAAATAGATTATAAAAATCAGTTGTAGCTCTTTCCTTTATTTTCCTCAGTGTGGCTACTAGAATATTCTCCAGCACACATCCGGCTAGGCCGCACTTCTGTTGCACAACTGTAGTCAGAAGCAGGAGCCAACAGACAGAGAGTATTTTCAGCTTTGCCGGCCCTGGCATCTGTCACAAGTAACCCACTGCCACGCCAACCCCACCCACACTGCACCGCCCAACTGACGTGGCTCACACGCTGTCCCCACCAATAAACGCCTGGTTCAAGTTCCCTCTCGAGGTACCCAGCAGCCTACGAAGCCCAATATGGCACTGGGGATGTGATGTCATGGTCAAGGATATGCCGAGGACATGTCAGGCGGGCACTGGAGCAGCTCACCTGTGGCTCCTGCGAAGACGTCACCCTGGGCTGGACTCTCGGATATGACAGCAGTGGCCTCTACTGTGGATGCCCGGTCAAAGGTCAGTGCCCCCGAGGTCGTGATCTGTCCTGAAGGGGTCACGGTGACTGGAAAGGCAGAAGCACATTTCACGTGGCCAGGCAGTGGCACCCACGGCACACAGGTCCTGTGCCACCCATGGGCACCAATCCTTGAGGGGGCCTGGGCTAAAGTGCAGGCAGTGGTAACCGTACCCTCCCATGTGAAGGACACACAGGAAATCCCAGACCTTGGAGAAGACCTCAGAGGAGAAAACCAGGATGGCAACTTGCCACCACCAATTGTTCACTGTTTAAACTGTGCTCCCCAGCATGGAAACTGCTGCCCAGCCAGAAAACAAACATAAAATAAAACTTCCAATGACTTTTAAATACTTTGTGGCTCAAATTAAGAAAAAGTATTTAATCCAAGCTGAAGGTAAAAAGCAGCCATGTCCCACAGCAAGGCTGCCTCTCCAGCTCAAAAAAAAAAATCCTGGTGACAGATCTCGAGACTCTGCTGCTGTGGGACTCTTCCCGCACCCACCACCCAGGGCCTCGAGAAGGAGCCGACAGGGTGTTTTAAAAAGACCTTGCTCTATAAAAGCAAAAACCCAGACTTACATTAGTTAACAGAAGCCTGTTACAAAGACATTTTCTCCTATTGCTATCTCTCCCCATTTAAATCCTGTCTGTACAATAAAATAAAAACATTAGCTGGGCATGGTGACACGTGCCTGTGGATCCAGCTACTTGGGAGTCTGAAGTGGGAGGAATGCCTGAGACTAAGAGGTCAAGGCTGCAGTGAGCCTGGATCCTGACGCTGCCCTCCAGCCCGGCCACAGAGAAAGACCCACAGAGTTCTGTGCAGCCCTCATCCAGCGCACTGAGAATCCCTCACCAAGGACACCCTTGCCAGGAAACGTCCCTCAAGCGTGTGCTGGGCACTCGGCTCTGCTCACTGACACTGGGAAACAGCCCAGGATGAGGCCGACAGCGCCCAGATCCCAGGGAAGCAAGACAGAGCTGGGCACTGGGACAGCCCTTCCCACCCGGGGGCCGCACTGCAAAGGAGCATGAAGGCATTGACATCCCTCCGGCCACGCAATGTGCTTTAGAAATGAGAATCCCACAGTGGCCGTGGGAGTGGTGACGAGAGAAGGCAATGCACTTAGGTCCCCTCAGTAAACTAGAGCTATGTTTTCTCAGACTCACAGGTGGTGGCCGCGGTGGCTGGAAGCAACGTGATGTTCTTGGGGGAGTCCTTCTTCACGGGAGTTGTGGGCAGTTCATTCTCCTTCTTGCGCCTTTTGTAAGGCACAAAAAGCCTGACTGGGCCACTCTGGGGGAGAAAGGAGACAGGCCACCGCGTTGGTATGTGCAAAAGCTATGCTGCGCTTGCAGCTCCTCTTATGTGGGGGCACCGCGGGGTGTGTGAGTCACATGGCGAGACCACATTAAGATGGTAAGCGCCCCTAAAAATCCCACCTCTTTTTTTTTTTTTAGATGGAGTTTCACTCTAGTTGCCCACGCTGGAGTGCAGTGGCGCGATCTCGGCTCACTGCAACCTCCGCCTGCTGGGTTCAAGTGATTCTCCTGCCTCAGCCTCCTGAGTAGCTGGGATGACAGGCATGTGCCACCACACCCAGCTAATTTTCTTTTTTTTTTTTTTTTGAGACAGAGTCTCACTCTATTGCCCAGGCTGGAGTGCAGTGGCACGATCTCCGCTCACTGCAACTTCTGCCTCCGAGGTTCAAGTGATTCTCCTACCTCAGCCTCCTGAGTAGCTAGGATTACAGGCACACACCACCACACCTGGCTAATTTTTGTATTCTTAGTAGAGACGGGGTTTCTCCATGTTGGTCAGGCTGATCTCAAACTCCCAACCTCAGGTGCTCCGCCAGCCTCAGCCTCTCAAAGTGCTGGGATTACAGGTGTGAGCCACCGCGCCTGGCCAAAATCCCACCTCTTTAGGCCCCAAATCCCTTAACATGACAGAAAGGATACTTTAAAAAAGAACATACGAATACCAGTGCAGCAAAATAACAAAGTGTCATCGACAGATTAAAGGTCAGAAATTCAGGGCTGGGCGCGGTGGCTCACGCCTGTAATCCCAGCACTTTGGGAGGCTGAGGCAGGCGGATCACGAGGTCAGGAGATCGAGACCATCCTGGCTAACATGGTGAAACCCCGTCTCTACCAAAAATACAAAAAATTAGCCAGGCGTGGTGGTGGGCGCCTGTAGTCCCAGCTACTCGGGAGGCTGAGGCAGGAGAAGGGCGTGCCTAGGAGGCAGGGCTTGCAGTGAGCAGAGATCGCGCCACTGCACTCCAGCCTGAGCGACAGAGCAAGAATCCGTCTCAAAAAAAAAAAAGGGTCAGGAATTCCTAAAGGACAGAAAATAGGTGGGGGCCAGGGCCAAGCAAGGGAGGAATGAGAAGAAGCCACAGAGGAGAAAGTTGGCAGCACACGGGCATAGCTTCAGCAGCACCGCACCAGACAGGAGGAGGCATGGGATCAATTAAAGAAAACGGTAAAAGTCACCAAAGATATCCCATGAAAGAGGCCAAACCCTCACGGAGCTGGGCCTGGGACACTCCCGCCTCCGACCTGAGACCCTCACAAGCCCAGCACCACACAAGGCTGCCGGACACATGCTCAGAACGTCTATTCTGTCAGTTCAAACCTGTTGAGACTCTAGTGAATTTTTCATTCAGTTATTCTTCTTTCCAATTCTACAATTTCCATTTGACTCTTTTTTTTTTTTTTTTTTTGAGACGGAGTCTCGCTCTGCCGCCCAGGCTGGAGTGCAGTGGCCGGATCTCAGCTCACTGCAAGCTCCGCCTCCCGGGTTCACGCCATTCTCCTGCCTCAGCCTCCCGAGTAGTTGGGACTACAGGTGCCCGCCACCACGCCCGGCTAGTTTTTTGTATTTTTTAGTAGAGACGGGGTTTCACCGTGTTAGCCAGGATGGTCTCGATCTCCTGACCTCATGATCCGCCCGTCTCGGCCTCCCAAAGTGCTGGGATTACAGGCATGAGAGCCACTGCGCCCGACTTTGTTTTTGTTTTTTTAATAATTTCTATCTCTTCATTGACATTCCCCAGTGAGGAGACAGTGTCTTCAGACCTTCCATGCAGTCGCTAGCTGTGGTTTTCTTTAGTCCTCTGAACATACTGAGGATGGCTGTTTTAAAGCTTTTGCCTGTTAAACCCAATATCCCGGCCACTCCAGGCAATTTCTGTTGCTCTCCTCCTGTGTATGGTTCATGGCTCTTTGCATGTCTTAGACTCTTTTGTTAAGAATCAGACAACACAGGTGATACACTGTAGCAACAGTGGAAAGCTGTTCTCCTTTCCCCCAGCTCCTGGCTGCTGTCTGCTTGTTTATTATTCAGGGATGGGGCTGGACCCTTTAACTGAAACTGTTCTCCTGGGGCGGCCTCGGCTGCTGCTCCTCTGAGGGCTCAGCCCTGGGGGTGCAGTCACCTTTGGTGGTGGGGATTTTGGCTGTCTCTCTCCCTGATCTCTGTTAAGCTGTTGGTTGAGTCAAGTGTCAGAATCAACTAACCGCCAGCTGCCTGCTCCATTACTTCCAACAATGCCCTGGGGCACACACTGCTCCACTGTCTGAGCCGATTAAATTAGGGCTTCTTTACCAAGAGGTTAGAACTTGAGGGCTTGTTTCCCCAGTGGGTTCTTAGCTGTGGCTTTCCTCGCCTCTCTGGTAAACCTGCTGACCTAGTTTAGTTTCTTGCTCTAATGGAACTGCTGGCCTCCTCTTAACTGCTGACCACCAAAATGTCCATTGTTTTGAACATCCCCTTCCTGTTTCAAATCAAGTCAGTTCCTTTGGGAAGGGCTTTGGAACTCTGTGTTCTTACAGCCTCTCTCTCTTTGGGGCTGAATGTTGGAGCCCCTACTCCAGACCTGGAGGCGGGAACAGCGCCTGGGTCGATCAGAGGGACTCTGTTGCATCAGCCGGGCTCTGTGAGGGGGGGTGGCAGCCTCTCACTGCGTGGACGCTCCACCCCATGGGCAACCTGGGTTGAGGGAAATTGGGGCCTCCCTATGCTTGGCCTCCCACCTCTGAGTAACGCCTCTGCCCTCTGAGTGGGGCTGACTGAAGAGATTTTCAGTCACACTTCCCAGGAATTTACTGCAAATTGGAGCTGAAGGGGTTGAGAACCGCTAGTGGCCTGCCCCTCCCAGTGAGATACCACATCCCTTGACCGGGAGCTGTGAGGAGTGGGAACCCTGTTTTCTTGGTCACAACCACCCAGAATGGAGCCTCCTCCATAGGGAGCTGGGGGCAGAAAGGGGGGCAAGGAGCTGGTCCTAGCTTAAATGTCACAATCCTCACTGCTCTTTCCAAGACTCAGTACATTTTCCTGGATGTTTCTTTATTTGCTATATGCACCTAGGACAATTTCCGGAGACCTTAAGGGGTTATTTTTTCACAGTTTTCACTAGTTATTTCTGTGGAGAGTTGGTCCACTGAGCTTATCACACCACCATTCCCCAAGTGGAAGCCAAAAGTTTTAAAATGTGATAAAGTCCAATCTAAGAAATCCTAGTTCTAACTCTAGGTCAGGAAGATTTTCCAATGTGTTTTCTCCTAAAAATGTTATAGTTTTACCTTTTACTTTAGATCTGTGACCCATTTTGAATTCATTTTTGTACCAAGTGTGAAGTTTAGGTCATCCTTTGTCTCTGCCGATGAACGTCCAGTCGCTCCAAGGCCATTTGCTGGAGTCTACAACACTCTAGTCTGACCCAGATTTTGGGGGTCTCTTCTGCCAATGCCACACTGTCCTGATTACTGTCACGAGCTAGTAAGTCTTAAGACCCCGCAATGTAGGCCGGGCGCGGTGGCTCAAGCCTGTAATCCCAGCACTTTGGGAGGCCGAGACGGGCGGATCACGAGGTCAGGAGATCGAGACCATCCTGGCTGACACGGTGAAACCCCGTCTCTACTTTAAAAATACAAAAAACTAGCCGGGCGTGGTGGCGGGCGCCTGTAGTCCCAGCTGCTCGGGAGGCTGAGGCAGGAGAATGGCGGGAACCCGGGAGGCGGAGCTTGCAGTGAGCTGAGATCCGGCCACTGCACTCCAAGACCCTGCAATGTGATTCCAACCATTTAAATGTTTATTTCAAAACTGTTTTGGCTTTTTAAATTTCCTTTACCTTTCTATATAAATTTTAGAATCAGTTTGTCTGCATCTAAAAAGAATCCTGCTGGGATTTTGATAGTAATCGTGTTAAACCTATGAATCAACTTGGGAAAAAGTCACATCTTTACTATATTGAGTCTTCTAATCCACGGACACAGGACGTCTGTTGATGTATTTCAATCTTCTCTGGTCTCTTTCTTTAGCATTTTTTTCAGTGCCTTCCACATACAGACCCTGTTCATGATTTCCTAGACTGACATTGAAGTACTTCAGCGTTGGAGCCCCTGCAAATGATCTACCCGCAGGCTCCACTGCCAATGGGACCGACGCCTCCTCCCGGCTCCTTTACTCCTCCAGCATCTCTAAGAGTCTCACCTACTGGCTTTTCCAAATCAACTTCAAAATTATTTTACATTCACAAAATTGTTCTTTCCACTAGAATCACATGAAATCTATACATAAACTAGACAATTCTAGGGTGTTTACTGTTTCACCCCAAGAACATGGTAGGTCTCTCCATGTTTTTTTTTTTTTTTTTCTGAGGTGCAGTAGCTCACGCCTGTAATCTCAACACTTTCGGAGGCCGAGGCGGGCAGATCACCGGTGGTCAGGAGTTTGAAACCAGCCTGACCAACATGGCAAAACCCCATCTCTACTAATAATACAAAAATTAGCTGGGCGTGGTGGCTCACACCTGTAATCCCAGCTACTCGGGAGGCTGAGGCAGGAGAATTGCTTGAATCCAGAGGCGGAGGTTGCAGTGAGCCGAGATCGCGCCGCTGCACTCCACCCTGGGTGACAGAGTGACACCCCGTCTCAAAAAAAAAAAGAAAAAGAAAATTATTTTGGGTCTTTGTCAAATAGTTAAGAATTCAGAATAAGGAAATACGTCAAAAAGATATCAAAAGCTCTATTCATGAATAAGTTTACAGTAGCATTTTTCTGACACGTTATAAAACGCAGAATATCTAACAGCACACATACAAGTAAAAGTGTGTATGTTTAGTTTTAGAGTTAAGGCGGTGACATTATAACCGCTTTTCATTACTTAAGGTTTCCATAAATGTTCTTTGAGCAACATCTTGGGGGCCAACCACGTGCCCCCGCATCGAGACATCAGGTTTCATTGTGCTGTATCAGGGAGCAGGGGACAGAGCAGCAGAGGAGAAGCAAGGACAGTATCCCTCTCCAAGGCAGAGGGCAAGAGGGAAACAGCCAAGGGGCCAAGGGCTGTGGGACCCACTCAGCCACCCCCAGCTCCACCAAGTGCTCCTGCTCCAGACATGCTGGCAACTTACTAAGGTCATGTCGTCGCAGCAGGCAGCACAGGTGCAAGAGGCAGCGTGAGGGTTTAAGATCCCGTCCTGAAATGCAAAAAGAAGCACCACGCATTAGAAAGTCAGCCCCTAAATGTGAATCATTCAATAACAGAAGATTTCAACCACTTCTACCATTTACCTGTCATTCATAAATACAAAAACTCTTTTTTTTTTTTTTTTTTTTTTGAGACGGAGTCTTGTCGGGTTGCCCAGGCTGGAGTGCAGTGGCACGTTCTCGGCTTACTGCAACCTCTGCCTCCCCGGCGCAAGCAATTCTCATGCCTTAGCCTCCCAAGAAGCTGGGATTATAGGCTTGTGCCACGACACCCAGCTAATTTTTGTATTTTTAGTAGAGACGGGGTTTTGCCATGTTGGCCAGGCTGGTCTCGAACTCCTGGCCTCAAGCAATCAGTCCACCTCGGCCTCCTGAAGTGCTGGGATTACAGGAGTAAGCCACCGTGTCCAACCTCATAAAGACAAAAATTCTGAGAAATGGCCGGGCGCGGTGGCTCACGCCTGTAATCCCAGCACTTTGGGAGGCCGAGGCGGGCGGATCACGAGGTCAGGAGATCGAGATCATCTGGCTAACATGGTGAAACCCCGTCTCTACTAAAAATACAAAAAACTAGCTGGGCGTGGTGGCAGCGCCTGTAGTCCCAGCTACTCGGGAGGCTGAGGCAGGAGAATGGCGTGAACCCGGGAGGCGGAGCTTGCAGTGAGCTGAGATCGCGCCACTGTACTCCAGCCTGGGTGACAGACCGAGACTCCGTCTCAAAAAAAAAAAAAAAAAAAAAAAAAAAATTCTGAGAAATGAGGGCCGGGCATGGTGGTTCATGCCTGTAATCCCAGCACTTTGAGAGGCCAAGGCGGGCGGCTCACTTGAGGTGGGGAGTTCGAGACTAGCCTGGCCAGCCTGGTGAAACCCGATCTCCATTAAAAATTAGGCCAGGTACTGTGGCTCACGCCTGTAATCCCAACACTTTGAGAGGCTGAGGTGGATGTCTCACTTGAGGTCGGGAGTTCAAGACCAGCCTGGCCAACAGGGTGAAACCCCATCTCTACTAAAAAAAAAAAAAAAAAAAACCCAGGTGTGGTGACGGGCGCCTGTAATCCTAGCTACCTGGGAGGCTGAGGCAGGACAATCCTCTGAGCCTGGGAGGTGGAGGTTGTGGTGAGCCAAGATCAAACCACTGCACTCCAGTCTGGGCAACAAGGTGAGACTGTCTCCAAAAAAGAAGCAGACGACCACCAGTAATTTCCAGAGACTTCTCTTTTTTTTTTTTTTTTTTTTTTTTTTTTTACATCCCCCCCCCCCCCCCCCCCCCCCCCCCCTCGGCCAGGAGCTTTTTTTTTTTTTTTTTTCTTCACAGTGCCATTACTGGTGGCAGAACCCATCTCTTTCCTTTCAAGATTTGCAAAAGGCTCTAGAGGAATTGCTTCCTTAACAACACACAGGAGCTAAACTGGAATAGGAATCAGAAGTCCTCCTTTTTAGCAGACAGAAGAAAAGTTAGGCGACTTTGAAAGGGTCACATGCATTCAAACAGGAACGATTATCTTAACTTCCACTGTTTCCATTTTTTGTGTATTTGACACACCCCCTTTCTACAACTGCTCTGTGCCAGGCGCTGTGACCTCATGCACTTCTCCCAACAATCCTCACAGGGTCACGATCATCATCATCCCCATGTGAAAAATCCGGAAACTGAAATACGAGAGGGTCAGTCACTCATCCAAGGCCACACGGACACGGGGTGGAGGCTGCAAACCCCGTGTGTCTGACCCCGTGGTCTGTGCCCGCCCTCTGGCTGGGCCACCTCGGAGGCCCCGCATCCAAGCTGTGTGTTGAGCACAGGTGAGGACACACAAACGATACCTGGATGAGGCACTGCAGGGGTCGGCCTGCGTAGCGAATGCTTCTTTTCCAGTCCTTACTGCTGGCTCTTCCTGCCATGGCCTCAAACTCGGTGGGACTGTACCAGTTCTCCCCCTGCTTGATGCACCGTCCCCGGCCGCCTGCAAGGAAGAGCAGCAGTCACGATGACAGCAGGTAGGAATGTCGCCTCTGCCATCGCCTCCCTCCTGGGACCTCCCCCGCCATTCCACGAGCACCAGTACCCCAGCAGCTTGTGTGATCTCACCCACCTGTGTACTTGGCCCTGACAGGGCCACCACGGGTCTGCCTTTGCAGCCTGTGCCTCTGATCCCCTACGTGATCTCTCCATCCACTGTCCGCAGGCACTGCAAGCTCGACCAGGTCCCACACTGAGCACCTCTAGTACCCACTTCCAGAGCCTCTGTCTACAAGTCCCAAGCTGACCTGGCAACTTGAGGAACACGTCCCAGCCCTGCCTCCCTCCCACTTCTTCTTGCTTGTCTCCTATCCCGTGGGTCACGATGGTTTTTCACCCCTAAATGGTTCCCAGGCCCAGCCCTGCCCAGTGCCTCTCCCAGGCCTCAGCTCTAGTTCACAGGAACTGGGTGTCACTTGCACCTTCTGTCTTCTTTGCTGTTTTTTTTTTTTTTTTTTTGAGACACAGGCTCGCTCCGTCGCCCAGGCTGGAGTGCTGTGGCGCGATCTCCGCTCACTGCAAGCTCCGCCTCCCGGGTTCACGCCATTCTCCTGCCTCAGCCTCCGGAGTAGCTGGGACTACAGGCGCCCGCCACCGCGCCCAGCTAATTTTTTGTATTTTTAGTAGAGACGGGGTTTCACCGTGTTAGCCAGGACGGTCTCAATCTCCTGAGCCCTTGATCTGCCTGCCTCAGCTTCCCAAAGTGCTGGGATTACAGGTGTGAGCCACCGCGTCCGGCCCTGTCTTCCTAACTAGTTCTAGGTGCCACGATTTTCATCTTTCTCAGCCCCCAATTTATCCTAGTGGGGCTACAAAGGGAAATACAACTTTGGAGTCTGAAGCGGCAGCCCTCACCTGAGCCAAGCCTGTTCTTGTACAGAGTGCCGCTGATGTTCCGGCACCGCACGGGCAGCTCACTGTCGTACACAGAGGGGTCCCAGTTGTATTTAGTTCCACCTTTTTCTTGGCCGGGAGCCAGAGGGGTTGGAGGAGACTGAGGACCTTGGGCAGAGAAAGTGTGTGAAGGTGAGAGGCGGGACGCCAGGAAGTACATACGGCATGCACTCCCCTCACAGACACCCACCTCCCCAGCAGCACCACCTCCTTCAACGGCGGGAAAACTCTTCTCCGCCAGGAGAATTCCACGGCTTCTACTTAAAATCCATTAATAGTTGATATTCCAAATTTACCACAAAAAGAAGTAAATAAATTCCTGAAATAAATTCTAGCTATTCTGAAACGTGTTTTGCCCAGGCCTGGGGAGCAGGCACTGCTGTACCTGGGGTGAGGGGAGCTGCCGGGCCCTTCAGCCCGGTGGTCTCCACGATGCTCCCATCTGTGTGGACGACAATCAGTGTGGCTTTTTCGGTGTTCAGGCTGTCCCCGATCTGAAGGGCCGTCCTACCAGACTAGAAGGAAAAACCGCTCCGTCAGGTCACGTCCGAGCATGACACGAGGTGTGTCCCTGAGCCCAGCCGGGCCGTCCTCCAACAGGGCTATGGCTGTTCTCACCAAGAAGGGACGCTCGCCTAGGCACCCCATATCTTTTCCAAAGATATCTCTCAAAGACTCAAAAACAGAGCCAAGAACAAGAGCAGGCAGTGCCGAAGTCTGTGTGGTGCTGAGGAAAACGCCGGCCATCGTTTGTCCAATGGAAAGAAGACACGTGCTCCACGAACAGGAAACACCCTGACGTCTGCCTGAGCAGCTCCCACAGGTCACCGTCCTCATGCAGGGTCTCCAACAGACCGCGCTGGCCACCACAGACGAAGCCTCGTGCAGGACCACCCTGCAGAGCCCCTTCCAGATGGCGACGGGAGACCGGGGCCTCAAAACCACATTTCCACGCTGGCTGAAGCTGCTGCAACTGCTGCCTGCTTCCAAAATCACCCTTCAAGCTGCACAGACCCCACCACAGGCAGCCAGAGTCCCCATGCCCACACACCACTGCTGGAACTTGAACCCCACCTTGGTCAAGTCGTCTGACAAACTCTGGCCTGCAGGCTCTGCCCCAGCAGTGGGGCAGACCAGAGACTTCCAGGGGCATCTCCGAACCCAGCGTTCTGGGTGCCCCAAGATTTTAATTCTGAATACAAAACCAACCGAGGCAAAGCGAGAAGACAACTGTTTCTTTTTTTTCTTTTTCTTTTTTTTTTTTTGAGACGGAGTCTCACTCTGTCCCCAGGCTGGAGTGCAGTGGCTTGATCTCAGCTCACTGCAAGCTCCGCCTCCCAGGTTCACGCCATTGTTCTGCCTCAGTCTCCCGAGTAGCTGGGACTACAAGCACCTGCCACCATGCCCAGCTAATTTTTTGTATTTTTAGTAGAGACAGGGTTTCACCGTGTTAGCCAGGATGGTCTCGATCTCCTGACCTCGTGATCCGCCCACCTCGGCCTCCCAAAGTGCTAGGATTACAGGCGTGAGCCACCGCGCCAGGTTGACAACTGTTTCTTACATCTGAAAATGTCACTGTCGAATCAGGGCACTTGAGAAGTTTCTCATGGAGTTGAGGGTCCCCCAACACACATGCCTGGCGCCTGGGCTCACGGAGGCCCACAGGCCAACACCTCACAATGGGGGTCCTACCACTGTGCCTGAGTCACCAAAGACCGGCAGCTCTTCACTGGAGAAAGGGAATGTCTTGTGTCTGTTTAAGAGTCACAGACTATTTTTCTTAGGAAGGGAACATACAGTTATTTCAGACCGTGCCCTGCTTTGTTGTCAGTTTCTAAACAGGAACACACCAGTCTCTGGTCTTCCTGGCCTGGAGGGGAGAAGACTAGCCTTGGCCTCTGCAGGCACTTGCAGGACACCGCTGCTCCATGATGGCAGCATGTTCCAGGCACCCGCAGGTGCCTTGGGTTTCAGCCCCTCCTAGGAAATGAGGAGGCGCCCAGACCCTGCTGCCAGGAAGGAGCAGCCTGACCGAAAGCACAGATCATCGCATGGCCACGGGTCAGCCTGTGTGTGTTCTCACACCCATCAGAAATAAACCAAGTGTCTGGGCTGGGCGCGGTGGCTCATGCTGTAATCCCAGCACATTGGGAGGCCGAGGTGGTAGCTACCTGAGATCAGGAGTTTGAGACGACCTGGACAACATGGCGAACCCAGGAGGTGGAGGTTGCAGTGAGTTGAGATCACTCCACTGCACTCCAGTCTGGGCATCAGAGCAAGACTCTGTCAAAAAAGAAGGAAGGAAGGAAGGGAGGGAGGGAAGGAAGTTTCCAAGTTTCTTATGTTTTTACTGAAGTCCTTCACAAGTTTTCTGTTTGCTGCCATTCTAACAATAACTCTGCTTTCTGGCCGGGTGTGGTGGCTCACGCCAGCACTTTGGGAGGCCAAGGCGGGCAGATCACCTGAGGTCAGGAGTTTGAGGCCAGCCTGGACAACATGGTGACCTGTCTTTACTAAAATTACAAAACTTAGCCTGGCATGGTGGCACATACCTGTAATCTCAGCTCCTCAGGAGGCTGAGGCACAAGAATGGCTTGAACCCAGGAGGCAGAGGTTGCAAGGAGCCTAGATCGCACTACTGCACTCCAGGCTAGGTGACAGAGCAAGACTCCGTCTCAAAAACAAAACACACAAACAACCACTCTGCTTTCAGGTATATGAGGATGATGTCCCAGGTGCGTGACCAAGGCTAAAAAGACTACAAGTAACAGGTGCCAGTGGTCCCAGGGAAAACCCCTTTCTGGAGACTGGACCCACCCCGGCATCTGCCACTTGGAAACAAGGTTGCCTGCCCTGGTTGACCCGATGTCCCCAGGTCGCCGAAGGCCCCACATATAAAACATAAAACAAGCTGATACAACATGATCACGAAAGGGCTCTGAAGGTGGCACAGACACTATCTGACACACAACTGGCTTTCAGCAGTTTCCTAAGCAGACGGCAGTCAGGCGTGCAGAATGAAGGAGGGTGGGAGACTGCGCCATAAACGCTATGAGAACAGGATATGGGGGAGGGAAACGCCCTGCTTCCTTCAGCTGGCCCTGCAGCTACAGGAGTAAGGAGCACAGGTAGCGCCGGGCCTCGGGCAGAGGCTGAACTGTGGGCGGACGGCAGCCTGGGCTGGGTCAGGAGCTGGGAGTCCCCGCCCGATGGAGGCCACCAGCCCATCCGATGAAGTGTGACTCTTCACCCGGCCTTGTGAGGCAGCTTCTGCCTCAGCTCTAAGTTCTCCCACCCCAGCACAGCTGAAGGCTTCTGAGAGCAGAGCCAGCCAGTGCCTCCCTCCCCAGCTCACAGAGCAGACGCGCAGGATGGGCTGAACCCCGGGAGAGCCTCAGGGAAGCCCGAGGCCCGCAGCGTGGCACCGCTCGCGCAGAGCAGCTTACCAGAACGTGTCCTGAGATGGACGCCGCGTTGGCCACAGACGTGGTGAAGACATTGTCTGCAGCAGCCCCCACGTTGGCCACTGTCACCGTGGTCACCTCTGCAACAGAAGGAGCCTCATTTAAGAAGCAACGAAAGCCAGAACGGACAAAGCGAACAGCCCCGCTCAGGCGCTTCAAACAAAGCGACTCCCCCTGGGGTATGCGCACTTGTAACCCGGGAAGACCTTAACACTTGCATGAACGGGTGCTCGACTACCATTTCTATTCCACAGTCTAAGTCATTTGGCTCTTCCAGGAAAGAGAAAGGAAATCTATTCTTCCCAAGTAAAGCCTTTTATGTGCAGTAAAAAAATGCACACAACAAACCCGCCTGTCCCCATGCCCCAGCCAGCCCCAGCTCCACCAAATCACCACTGGGACTCTATCTCCTTCTGTGGCGTGGCTGTGTCCTGCCAGTCAGGTGTGCCCTGCGCCTACAATGAGCTCTGGGCCTCCCCACAGGTGAGGACACGTCCTGGACCCACTCTTGCAGCTCCATTCCTGCCTCTCCTCCACCACAGGGGTCAGGCCACCACCGTCAGGTGACCTCAGCCCCATGCTTACCGCCATTGCCCTTGGTCTCTGACCCCTGCCTCCTAAAAAGTACATCTAACGGCCGGGCGCGGTGGCTCAAGCCTGTAATCCCAGCACTTTGGGAGGCCGAGACGGGCGGATCACGAGGTCAGGAGATCGAGACCATCCTGGCTAACACGGTGAAACCCCGTCTCTACTAAGAAATACAAAAAAAACTAGCCGGGCGAGGTGGCGGGCGCCTGTAGTCCCAGCTACTTGGGAGGCTGAGGCCGGAGAATGGCGTGAACCCGGGAGGCGGAGCTTGCAGTGAGCTGAGATCCGGCCACTGCACTCCAGCCTGGGTGACAGAGCGAGACTCCGTCTCAAAAAAAAAAAAAAAAAAAAAAAAAAAAAAAAAAAAAAAGTACATCTAACCTGCCTGTGCCCCTTGGTGCCACCCCACCGCACCCCCTACAACATGGAACTCGGCCCCCTGGCATGCAGACAGGCCCTCTGGCAGCGTCTGCACACAGGGCAGGTACCACAGAGGTCAGCTACACCCCACCTCCTGCCCTTGTCATCCCAGACAGGTCCTGCAGCTCCAGCCTTTGCGTGTTGCAGTGTTTCTAGAGAAACACTTTCTGCTGCCAACACCCCCACACCCTCCTCTCTGCCTCTGCGAAGTCTTCCTGTGATGCTCCCAGGCCAAGCAAGTGGCTCTTCTGTCACCGAGTTCTAGAATATTCTGTGCCCAGGGCAATGTCTGGCACACAGCAGATGCTTAAAAGATACCGGTTGGCCGGGCACGGTGGCTCAAGTCTGTAATCCCAGCACTTTGGGAGGCCGAGGCGGGCGGATCACAAGGTCAGGAGATCGAGACCATCCTGGCTAACCCGGTGAAACCCCCGTCTCTACTAAAAAATACAAAAACTAGCCGGGCGAGGTGGCGGGCGCCTGTAGTCCCAGCTGCTTGGGAGGCTGAGGTAGGAGAATGGCGTAAACCCAGGAGACGGAGCTTGCAGTGAGCTGAGATCCGGCCACTGCACTCCAGCCTAGGCGACAGAGCGAGACTCCGTCTCAAAAAAAAAAAAAAAAAAAAAAAAAAAAAAAAGAGGCCGGGTGCGGTGGCTCAACCCTGTAATCCCAGCACTTTGGGAGGCTGAGACGGGCGGATCACGAGGTCAGGAGATCGAGACCATCCTGGCTAACACAGTGAAACCCCGTCTCTACTAAAAATACAAAAAATTAGCCGGGCGAGGTGGCGGCGCCTGTAGTCCCAGCTACTCCGGAGGCTGAGGCAGGAGAATGGCTAAACCCGGGAGGCGGAGCTTGCAGTGAGCTGAGATCCGCCACTGCACTCCAGCCCGCGCTACAAAGGAGACTCCGTCTCAAAAAAAAAAAAAAAAAAAAAAAGACCGGGGCAGCGTGTAGCTCACGCCTGTAATCTCAACACTTTGGGAGGCGAGGCGGGCGGATCACGAGGTTAGGAGATCGAGACCACCTACAGGTGAAACCCCGTCTCTACTAAAAATACAAAAATTAGCCGGGCGTGGTGGGGCGCCTGTAGTCCCAGCTACTTGGGAGGCTGAGGCAGGAGAATGGCGTGAACCCGGAGGCGGGGCTTGCAGTAAGCGGAGATCGCCCACTGCACTCCAGCCTGGGCGACAAAGGAGACTCCATCTCAAAAAAAAAAAAAAAAAAAGATACTAGTTGAATGCGTCCTGACCATACCATCCATACCATTAACCCAGCACTCACCCAAACTGCCCTTAAAAATGCCTGTTTGCAGCCAGGCGCAGTGGCTCACGCCTGTAATCCCAGTACTTTGGGAAGCAGAGGCGGGCGGATCAACTGAGGTCGGGAGTTCGAGACCAGTCTGACCAACATAGAGAAACCCCCATCTCTACTAAAATTACAAAATTAGCTGGGCATGGTGGCGCATGCCTGTAATCCCAGCTACTCGGGAGGCTGAGGCAGGAGAATCGCTTGAGTCCGGGAGGAGGAGGCTGCAGTGAGCCAAGATCGCGCCACTGCGCTCTAGCTTGGGCAACAAGAACGAAACTCCGTGTCAAAAAAAAAAAAAAAAGCCTGTTTGCTGTCTGTCTCCACGACCAGATCACACCAGGTGCAGGGCTCACTCATCCTCGCCTCTCAGCACCACAATCCCCAGCAGGCGGTGTGGGGCCACAGTGAGAGCTGAACGCCAGGCCCACGGCAGCCCTGGGAGCATCCGCCCAAAGCCGCCTCAGGCGGCAGCGTGTCCTCCTGAGTTCCTTAAACCTGGAAACCACTTGACTTCAGCTTTTACCACATCAAAACACAACTACCATATTTTTCAGAAAAAAACATACGTCAACGTATTTCTCTGACATCATGATGGACAGCATCATTTTTCTTTTATGCATTCAGAAAAATACGTGCAAAAATGACAAAAACCTGAAGTCAACATCATGGCTCCAAATCCCAACGTCAAACCAGAGTTTAGCCACGAAAGCCAACCTGAGAGTCACAAAGCTTTCCCTCCCTTTTTCTTCTTAACCAACCAAACAAGCAGCAGTGACCCCCTTGCCTTTGAGGGCCATTCAGTGGACTAAGGGAAGCCCAGACACTGCTGGGACAGCCCCCGGGCCAAAGCAGCACCCAGAGCACATGCAACGCCCTGACATACCTGGCACACCAGGACTGGGGTCCAGTTCCTAAACGCGCAAAGCTCCTTAAGGGAAAAGTGCCTCACAACGCAACAAGGGGCTCCTCCAAGGGTCTGAACACTGAGCTGCGAGTCCCTGGGGGACACTCGGGAGCTCCAATGGGGAAGAGCGCAGTGCATTGGGAAGCGCGCAGTGCATTGGGAAGCTGGTGGGCGGGGAAGTCTATGCCCCACTGACACAAGGGCGGGACACAGGAGGTGCTGGATGGCAACAGCCCTGTAGGGCATCTGTGAGTTCTGCCCCGGGCTCCCAGTGTTTTGGAGCCTGAGAAGGAGGCTGCTCTGTGTGGCAAGAAACTATGAGCAGCTTACAGAAAAATATGGGCTGGCAAGCCACGGCGGCCTCCCCACAGGGAGCCCGACAAGGAGGCAGAAGGAGCAGGTCCTTAGGGAAAAAGGCAAGAGGAAGAGGGAGGACTGGGAGAGGAGCCTGCACAGGTAACTCCGCGGGTCCCCTGGGCCACCACACAGCCATGCTGACCTCTGGCATCATGGCCTCCAGCAGGCTGCCCACCCCTGGCTCCTCAGTGCTCAGGTCATACCTGAACTGGCCCTCAGGACGTGGGGGTTCCTGGTGACCACAGGTGCCCATCCACCCCCGGGCTTCTCCAGGACAGGTGGGTGGGGGGAGCCAGGATAGATGACGGCAGGGCAGGGGCAGGGCTGCACAGGGGGACCAGTAGGAGGCAGGGCTGCCACAAAGAAAAGGGGAGGTGAGGGCAGGTGTGTGCAGGGCAGGCCAGGTGAGGCTGGGTGGGTCACCAGGGGCAGGTGTGTGGGTCAGGTGTGTGGGGCAGGTGTGAGGGGCGGGTGGGGCAGGTGTCTGTGGCAGGTGGGGCAGGCTGGTCACCTGCAGCAGGTATGTGGGGCAGGTGGGATGGGCTGGTGGGGCAGTGTGGTCATGTGGGGCAGGTGTGAGAGGTAGTTGTGCGGGGCGGGTGGGGCGGGTGGGGCGGGCTGGTCACGTGGAGCAAGTGTGAGGGGCAGGTGTGACGGGCTGGTCACGTGGGGCAGTTGTGCGGGGCAGGTGTGCGGGGTAGGCGCGCGGGAACCGGACGAGGCGAGAGGCCGGCGGGCGCACTTGCCTGCGAAGGCTGCGGCAGCGGCGGTCTCGTCGGGGCCGGGCAGGGCCTCGGCACCCATGTCCATGTGCCCGGGCTCCGCCGCCATCACCGCCACTGCCGTGACCCGCGGAGTCTCCCGCTCCGCCTCCGAGTCTGCGTCCTCCTCCGAGTCCTCGTCCCTGCTCAGCACCGGCTCCTCCGCCTCGCCTCCCGCCGCGGCCGCGGCCGCCGCCGCCACAGCGGCCGCGGCCGCCACCGCCGCCGCCTCAGCCAGGCCCAGCTGCTTTGCCGCCGAGTCCGAGTCCTCCATCCGGACTCCGCCGAGCCTTCCCGAAGGCGCCGTCCGGGGCCGCCCGAAGCGCCGGTCGCGGAGCCCGAAGCGGGGCCCGAAGAGGACGCCCGAGCTGGGCCGAGGCCGCCCGAAGCCGCCGCCCGAACAGGGACCGAAAAGGCAGCCAGCCGCCGAGCAGAGCCGAGCCGAGTCTGCCCGTGGAGCGGAACCGAGGCGAACCGAGGCGAACCGAGGCTGCCCGAATAAGAGCCGAACCTGCACGAAGCCGCCGAGCCGAGACCGAGTCCTGAACCGAGGAGGGTCGAAGCTCCCCGAAGTGGGAAGCCGAGTCAGTCCGAATAGGTCCGAGTCCGCACGAGGGCTTCCGAGAGACTGAGCCCCGGTTCTCCTCACTGCCTAACAGGCTGAGACGGCTGTTGTCCCCGGCCGACAGGGCTGGACGGCTCTAGGCAGATTTTCGCCGGCGCCTGGCGAAATTCTGCCTCTCAGAGACAGAGCTTAGTGCCGCGGGTTTCGCCCGTTCCCGCTGCCGGCGGGAGCCGAGTCAGCCCGAGGCCGAGCCGAGACGAGCCGAATGTTCCCGAGCCCGAATGCTCCCGAACCTCGGTTCTCCGCCTCCTCCCTTCCGAAAGTGCCCGAGCGGTGCCGGACGGACTACGGCCGTGGCTCGGACGTCCGCTCCCGAAACGCGGCGCGGTCGGGCCCCTTCGTCAGGAGACGCGAAAATGGCCGAAGGAGCGCGAGCGGCGCTGGCCGAGAGGCTGCCGGGATCGCGACGGACCGGCGGGCGGGGCGGGTAAGATGGCGGCCGCGCGGCGAGGTGAGCTCGGGCGGGTGGGGGCTTCCGGGCTAGCCCCGGCGGGCGCGGCGTTTCCCTGTGGTGACAATCTGGTTTCCGTTTTCGGTGCGCTCACGGGGCTGTGCTAGCGTCTCTACGTGAGCGAGACAGCTCCGTCACCCCATTGAGAAGCGCGGCCTGGCCTGGGTGGCGGGCGTCCTGCGCCCCGAGGAGCTCCCCCGCGCGCGGGCGCCTGGGCCCGGGCAGGGTGGATGCGGAGCGGCTTTGGAGCGGCTCTCGGGGACCCGGTCCCCGACAGCTCTTGTCCCGCGCGTGGCTTTTGTGAAGACACGTGGGCGGGATGGGCGCGGGGTTTCGGTAGCCTTGGAACCTTCGCCAAAGAAACCGCGGGTGCCCGTGCCTCAGGCGTCCTGCGTGAGAGACTCGCCTCCGAGAGGAGGAAGGGACAGACCAAAGCAGTAAATCGGCCGTGCTGCAGAGGGGCCGCCTTCTGCTGTCTGTGGGTGCAGCCAGAGCGCTCAAACGCGGGCGCTGAAGTGCCACACCTTCGAGCGCGTTCTCTGGAAATCAGGTGCTTTGTTTTAACGGAATAACGAATGGCTATTCCATAGGCAGGGCAGCCTCTAGTAATCAGGTTTGTTTGTGTATTTTCATTAGGTTAAAAATTAAGTTTAGGTTGGGCGCAGTGGCTCACGCCTGTAAGCCTGGCACTTTGGGAAGCCGAGGCTGCAGGATCATTTGAGACCAGCCTGGGCAACATAGCAAGACACCCTCTCTACAGAAAAATTGTAAACATCAGCCGGTCGTGGTGGCGCACCCCTGTGGACCAAGCTACTCTGGAGGCTGAGGCTGGCTGATCACTTGAACCCAGGAGGTCGAGGCTACAGTGAGTCGTGATGGCGCCACTGCACCCCAGCCTGGGCGACAGAGCGAGACCCCCCTCTACAAAAAAAAAAATTAAAAATTAGCCCGGGGAGCCTGTGGTCCCAGCTACGTGGGAGACTGAAGCTGGTGCATCACTTGAGCTCAAGAGGTTGAGACTGCAGTGAGCCATGATCACACCACTGCACTCCAGCCTGGGCAACAGTGCGAAACCCCCTTCTACAAAAAAAAAATTAAAAATTACCCCGGGGAAGGCCGGGCACAGTGGCTCACGCCTGTAATCCCAGCACTTCGGGAGGCCAAGGAGGGCAGATCACCTGAGGTCGAGGGTTCGAGACCAGCCTGACCAACATGGAGAAACCCCGTCTCTACTAAAAATGCAAAATTACCCTGGTGTGATGGTGCATGCCTGTAATCCCAGCTACATGAGAGTCTGAGGCAGGAGAAATCACTCGAACCTGTGGGGGCAGAGGTTGTGGTGGGACAAAATCGCATCATTGTACTCCAGCCTGGGCAATGAGCGAAACTCTGTCTCAAAAAAAAAAAAAAAAAATTTCCCCAGGGAGCCTGTGGTCACAGCTGCGTGGGAGGCTGAGGCTGCAATGAGCTGTGATCACGCCACTGCACTCCAGCCTGGGCAATAGAGCAAAACCCTGTCTCTAAAAAAATTAAGTGTATACCAGAACAAGATCTCTTAACACACCTTGTCCGTTACATCAGGGAAAACATTTGTTCTCTTTTACTTCCATGTTTAACTTTGCCTGACACAGCTATTCATAGCCACATTGTGATTACAGTAAGTCACTGACCAAAAATGTCCTGAAAGCCAGGGCGACGTTCAGTCAGAATGAGCTCCTGCAGGTCTAGAATTGTTAGAACAGCCGCCCTATAACAGCTGGTTATAGCCGCCCTTCATATTAATTATTTAAATGTTACATCACTTAAGACTTTTATACAGTTTTCCCCCGAACGCCACAACTTCAATCTGTAGCAATGAGCAACTAGCAGACACATTGGAAGTGTTTAAGAAGCCAACCTCTAAGAAAAGGAACAGAAGGGACAAAAACCCCAATTAATGCAAAATCATCACAGATAATGACAGGTATTTAGGTAGCCTGGTTTAGCTAGGGCCTGGAAAAGAACAGATCGGGTTTAAAGAGTGGTCTGCCGGTAACACGATGCCACGTGGTTTGCCGTGCACTTGGCTTCCTGCTTCCAGCCTGTGGCGCCTCTTCCAGGAGCCCTGTTCTGAGTCTCTGATGCCGATGTCCTGTATTTACCGGCTCAAGACTCTTGCCCATGTGAGATTCCACAAACTCTGGCACAGAAGGCCCCAGATCTGCTCAAGAAGCTGTGGGATCAGCCACAAAATCTCACTAACGCCAGGTTTCTGTCCTGCCCTCCCTGGCGTTGAAGTGGAAATGGAACAGAGAGGCTGTGTTCAGGTTGTTGTCCTGCCTGCCGCCCAGCGGTGCAGCTTGAGCCTCCTTTTATGAGAGGTTTCCACCCAATTCTAGATCTATATTGATGTATTTACACATGTAGAGACGTGCACATACCACATGTGCAACTAGCGTGAGCCCTTTTCAGACAATTAGTCCGACCCAGGTCACCGTGGATCCAGGATGAGTCAGGGGAGTCTTCAGATGCAAAACCTCAGAATCGAAAATGCGGAAAGAGGCTCCACTCACTCCTCCAGCTTCCTGTCATCTCTCAGGTGGGGGTGGGAGAAGGCCCAAGAGGTTGCATGATAAAAAGATTGGACTGCTGCATTGCTAGTTTTGAAAATTCTTATTTTTGGAGGGATGTTTGGGGATAAAATTCCAGAGGAATTTTTTTTTTTTTTTTGAGACGGAGTCTCGCTCTGTCGTCCAGGCTGGAGTGCAGTGGCGCGATCTCGGCTCACTACAAGCTCCGCCTCCTGGGTTCACGCCATTCTCCTGCCTCAGCCTCCTGAGTAGCTGGGACTACAGGCGCCCGCCACCTCGCCTGGCTAGTTTTTTGTATTTTTTAGTAGAGACGGGGTTTCTTTTTTTTTTTTTTTTTTTTTTTTTTTTGAGACGGCGTCTCGCGCTCTGTCACCCAGGCTGGAGTGCAGTGGCGCGATCTCGGCTCACTGCAAGCTCCGCCTCCCAGGTTCACGCCATTCTCCTGCCTCAGCCTCCGAGTAGCTGGGACTACAGGCGCCCGCCACCACGCCCGGCTAGTTTTTTTTTTGTATTTTTAGTAGAGACGGGGTTTCACCATGTTAGCCAGGATGGTCTCGATCTCCTGACCTCGTGATCCACCCGCCTCGGCCTCCCAAAGTGCTGGGATTACAGGCTTGAGCCACCGCGCCCGGCCTCTTTTTTTTTTTTTTTGAGACGGAGTCTCGCTCAGTCGCCCAGGCTGGAGTGCAGTGGCTCGATCTTGGCTCACTGCAAGCTCCGCCTCCTGGGTCCACGCCATTCTCCTGCCTCAGCCTCCCGAGTAGCTGGGATTGCAGGTGCCCGCTGCCACGCCCAGCTAATTTTTTGTATTTTTAGTAGAGACGGGGTTTCACCGTGTTAGCCAGGATGGTCTCGATCTCCTGACCTCATGATCCGCCCACCTCGGCCTCCCAAAGTGGTAGGATTACAGGCGTGAGCCACCGCGCCCAACCGAAAAGGTTTTCGTTAGTCATATATGTGTGGCAAATACAGAGAAGCCACAGACAACGAGGAGAGCTGCTGTTTGGGTAGGCTCAGGGTGCTGCTTTCCCTGAGGGCCAGGTGGGTCTGGCCCAGGGTGAAGTGGAAGATTCACTTCCCACCATGGTTCTTCCCATACTCGCTGCCTCCAGCCTCAGGTTCTGAAAGGCAGAGGCTCCTAGCCTCGTTGAAGGATGGCTAGAGAGGCACGGGAGATACCTAGGGGCAGGCGCATGGTATATGTTTACTGCTTTCTACAAATATGAGATCAAAAGAGAATAAAGCAGGGGTGGTTCCTATCAGTGTGGAGTGAGCCCCAGGAAAGCCTCCTGGTGGCTGTCGGGACTTGCTCACAGCCCCTTTCTCTTTCAGGGAGAGGCTCCTCCACAGTGGTATCCTACTGCGTGCCCCTCCAGGACAGCACCCAGAGGCCCGAATTGCTGCCACGCAGAGAGCACTCGGCCTCACCCCACGTTTTCCTTAAGTTCTGTCTAGTAATTCCACTTTGGAGAGGGGGGTGTTGCTTGACAGATTTAGAGAGTTGATGTAACTTCCTTGGATCAGTTGTGTTGGCTCCATCCCCTGCCTGCTCAGCCCTGCACAAAGTGGCTAAGCACACCAGACTGCCCGGCTCCGAAGAGGATGGCCACCTGCCTCTGTCTCGGCCAGTAGTGGCAGGAAGATGGAAATCCCTCACTTTGAATGTCCCTAGATTCATTTTATTTTATTTTTGTTTGTTTATTTTATTTTAAGGACGGAGCCTTGCTCTCACCCTGGCTGGAGTGTGGCAATCACGGCTCACTGCAGCCTCAGCCTCCTGAAGCTCTGGCATCACAGGCGTGAGTCACTGTGCCTGGCCCCATAGACTCATACTGGCATAAACAAATAGGAAATGTACACAGCTCAGGAAATGGCTAGTAGATACTTAAGTCCCCCCAAACAGAAATATATTTCCTCTGAAGAGCGCAGTGGCTCATGCCTGTAATCCCAACACTTTGGAAGGCTGAAGTGGGCAGATCACTTGAGGCCAGGAGTTTGAGACCAGCCTGGCCAACGTGGTGAAATCCTGTCCCTACTAAAAATACAAAAAATTAGCTGGGTGTGGTGGTGCACGCCTGTAATCCCAGCTACTCAGGAGGCTGAGGCAGAAGAATCACTTGAACCCAGGAGGCGGAGGTTGCAGTGGGCCAAGATTGTGCCGCTGCACTCCAGTCTGGGCAACAGAGCAAGACTCTTATCTCAAAAAAAAAAAAAGAAAATGACAAAGTTATTTTTTCTCTCTAACTCATAACTGGGGCCAGAGTCAGGGTGACATCACTGGGAGTGCCAGTGTGTGGAGGCGTCCCCTGACCAGTCCACAGTCACTGAGGGCAGAAGCTGCGGTGCACAGACTGCATTGTTCTGGCGTGGACGGTGG